CCTCTCCCTCCCCCTCTTCCCCCCGCCAGGACCCCGCTGGGATTTTTGAGCTGGTGGAAGTGGTTGGCAATGGCACGTACGGGCAAGTCTACAAGGTTTGTGGCAGAATTTCTTCTCCTTTTATTATTGTCATTTTTCTCGAGGGTACCCGGTGTCTCTGCCGGGCTGAGCACACGGCGGATGGCGAGCCACCCGCCGTGCCAAGCGGAACAGTTAGGGATGGTAAAAATGTTGTCTTTGTCATTGCTGCTGCCCGTGACAAGTTTGTCAGCCTCTTGGCTTCTGCTTTTCCAGAGGGGCACAAATTACTCTCCCGAGTACCCATCCTCAAATGATGAAACAGCCCTTTATGGTCCTTATTCCCCCCTACCCCCCGCTACCCGAGAAATGGCCAAACTGAGTGGACGCTGTCAGAGTGTGTCCGGGCTGTACAAATAGGTCCGTGGGCTTATTCAAAATTGCTGCTGGAAGTCCTCATGGAAGTTACTGCTGCTGCTGTGGTGACTTTAGACAAAGGCATGGGCCTTCAATAAAAATTGTCACCCGGTTGCCTTGTTGGAAAACCTTCCAAGTGCTGAAGCTGTCGAGTTGGGGGTGAACGGTGCTGCATCCGATCCCGCGGTGCTGTGCAGTGATGGGGGGGGGGGCAGGGTGACAATAATAAGCGATCGAAGCGAGCAAGCTTATTTCGTGAAAATCAGAATTCCCAGAATAACCTGTTTGACAAGTGTATGACTTAAAAAAAAAATAGAAATCAGAGAGTGCCCATGTGGGTGTGAAACTAGCCTACTTTTTTTTTTTTTTTTTTCCCCCCCCCCCCCAGGCTGCAGTCAGATGAACAAACAAATCTTGAAATTGCGTGACTTTGCAGTGAGTGCTGGCCACCAGGATGACTAATTATTCACAGAGCCTTAATACTTGGCGTAAGACGGAAAGCTCTCGCCTTATATTGTATAGAAATGCCAGGCACGGTTGCAGAGGGAAGGGAAGATGACTGAAAGTAACCACTATGCCTAGCTGCTTGGGTTTGGGTTTTTTGTTGGGTTTGGGTTTTGGTTTTTTTTTTTTTTTTTTGCTTTAAAAACAGGCCGGGGAATTGGGGGGT